GCAAAATGGAGCAAAATTGGGGAGGGGGGAATAATTGCTGAGAAAAAAATCTGCTTGGATTTGATCTACAAAGAAAGCGAAATCTCTTAAAATGGCCTGTGGGTGAGATCTCGTTTAAAAACCAGTAGAGTCACTCTTAACGGCACTGTAGGATAATCAGACATCTCCTTTAATTACAATAGCTTTCACATCACTGGCTTAAAAACAATTAATAGTGTGATCCTCAAGCTTAATTTCTTAAAAATACAATGTTGACCATTCTCTTAGACAAATTATGCTTAAAAAATATGGAATTGCAAAGAAGTTTAACTATGGAAAACATATCATTTTGGGGGAAAGTTACACACAAGCAACATTATATGCTTATATATATATATATATATATATATATATATATGAATACGGCTAATTTTTTTAACAATCTCATGAACTTAACTCAGAGCACCTCTTTAAAAAGAGCAGTTAACTCAATGCATAATGCCTGTTTTCAATGTAACTGATCGAAGTAACCACAATTTGATATTCCCGTGCCAGGGTGAAATAGTCACATGTCTGTTCTTTATATCACTTGTTGAATCGTTGACAGCAGCCAACAGTTGTCAAGATAAAGAACGAGGGATCTCACCTTCTCATTACTTCAACAAAGACTATGATTATAGCACAGTAATAATTTCAACTAGTGTACTATCAAAAGAAGCAAGTAATCTATACTTAAAAAGACAATACTTTTGGTTCACAACAAAAACAAAAGCATGTGAAATATTACTTGACTAAAAACAGAGTGAATAAAAACAGATTTTGTACACTCGGTTCTCATTCAAAAGTGCAAAAAGATGTTTTCTTGAGCACAAGTGATACATTCAACAGTGAGGATATAACAACAACTGAAAGAATCTGACAGGGAAACAGTGGCATTATTTATGCAACTCTTTAAAACAGGCCCATATATTCTCATTCACTAAAAGCTGAGCATATTACAGAAAAAAAAATCATGCAAAAATATATTTTGTATCACAAATTATTAAGCACAAAAACAACGTAACTTCTGGGTGGCCTCTATGCAATACATTAATAACATAGCTTACTCTGTAATAACACCCTTAGTTTTTAAATTGGCCCTGAACAAAACAGAAAGGAAACTGCAAACAGAGAAACTATTCAGCATTTCAATTATTTCATCCCCTCTTCAGGCCGCATGGAATAATCTAAAGAGCCCTCGAGTACTGAAGTCTTAAGCACTGCGGAGGTTTTCATGGCGTTGAGTTCATTAGCAAATGGCAGTGCCTCTCTGCAATTAAAGACAACTGTGCAAACGCTGTAGCCCATGGAAATGCATTCAGACTCTTTACTTTGCCTTCAGTGAGCGTCAGCACGGAGCAAATACGTCATAAACAAGTTGCTATGAGCCAGTCCATCGGAAAACAAATTAGCCTGCTTTGCACTGAGGCACAAGAAGGCCATAAACATGCCGAAACAAAAGATAAAGTCATCACTCTGACGACATTTAATGTATTTGTTGGTAAATGTTGTATCAAAATCAATCATTCATGACTAATTTCACTTAACTATTTCTGTAACACAGCACACTTTTTTTATTTTCAAACAAGAATAGTAAGTTAAAAAAATATATCATAAGAGTGATTCTTTAACTAGGATAACTTTTTTGTCCCCTAGATTGAGGAAAAAAAGAAAAGAAAAGAAAAAAAGAAAAGAACTCAAATATTTTTAAGAAAACTATTTTTCGTAAGTTGTTTTGTCTTCTTGATAATAAATGCATAAAAAGTGTTAAATCATGGAAATTCTACTATGTACTACTTCCTAAGAACATAAATTAATTTAATAATTCTAGTTAATTTATAATCTCAATTAACTTAATGTTTTATAACAAAGAATGGTTGTCAGTTCTGTTGTTATTACCATCACACAAATCATTTTAGAGTTTTTATTTATTTATTTATTTATTTATTTATTTTGTTAGTAGTAGTAGTAATATTTTAGTTTTAGGTTGAATGAAAATGCCACGTGTTTTTACCAATCCAGTCAGTATTTTAATTCAGATATAACTTATCCAACTTTCTCCAACAAGTCAGTGAAACACATTATACGAATTATACATTATACAAAAATACACTTGAAGGTTGATCAAGCTTGTTATCTTATAAGTATTCCGGTATGAAGCATAGTTTTAAAAAGTTTAACCATTATATAGGCCTATGTATATATTTAGACACTAGCCTACTACAGTGGCGCTCATATTGTTTAATATTATAGCCTACTACACTTAATACTAGATTCATATAGCCTACATGTAAAACTATTTTTTCCCCAGTAGTGTAGTAATTACTTAATGTGACGCGGTAGCTGTCAAACAACCAAAAACTTCAACAAGATTCTCCAGAATGAAGACCACAGTGAAGGGGTTAACTAGCTGCTAACTAGTCCCTCCGCTCATATCGCCGCGCGTTTATCAGCGCAGTACAAGGAAAACAACGTGATCCAAACTGGCTGGGCCGCATTCACCAGAGAGAGAAGAGAGAAAGAGGCTCTGACTTTTTTCACCCTTGAGCTCTGCCCCTCTTTCTCTTCACTCGATACTTGCAAAACAATGCTAAGCTGGAGTTGAGACATTATTGATACGATGCTTCGCTGCACGGAGGACGAAAACAAAGCACAGCGCTGGACCACGGAGTTTAATAAATTCTATGTATATTTCTGATTTTCTTATGCTGCAGTATTCCTGCTGGAATAAATTGGCCTTTGAATAAATGAACCGCCTCTCTCCCTCTTGTTAACATTGTTGAGAATTCGCACAAAGGAGATTTTTTTTTTTCCCAGTCCAATTCAACTTTATGCCCGAGGGCATATATTAAAAATACATATGGAACGAGACAATGCATGAGCGACGCAAATTCGTTAGGGATGTCACCGCCTAGCAAGCTCAGAAATGTAACCACAAAAAAATGAGATGTAAAATACATATAGGACCTAAAGTCAAACTTTAACTCTGTAGCTGTTATCCAAAAACCGCCCATACGTATCTAAACTTATTTTTAAATGTACTTTTATTTAAACACTTTTATTTCAAGTGTTAAATCTCTCTTTACAGCTCATCCAATTTTAAATGAGTACATTTCTAACCAGCGGCATTTTTTTAGGATTCATAATAAAATAAAAACAGATTCTACCTCGCATTAGCAAACTTCTGAAAAGTTGGTCAGCTTACATTGAGGAATCAGACTTTCATGAAGATGTAAATATTTAATACTTAACCCTAATATTTAGGTTTTACACGTCAAGAAAAAAAATATAGGACATGTCTTCATCTTAAAGTCAATTAAAGATCTATATTCGTGGCCTCCAGCAAAGCATAAATTGCTCTTATCAAGTTATATACCTACGTACCCAGGGGTCTTCATATAAGCCTAATTTATTTTTATCGCTTAAATTCATCTCTGCTCAATAATTCATTTATTCAAAAATGTTGACACGTGCTCTCTGATAGAGTTTTGTTCAAAGAGTTATAAACAAAATTGACATTATGCTGTTTAATGCTTCCTTTGAATTAGATGCATTATCTGTACAGATCCGCTCATTAACATAATCATGAACACAGCCGAGGTAGAAAAGACTAAAGCAGCCAAAGGTCGTTTTATTGGAGTCCCTGTTTGGTAATGAATGGGACAGGGTTTTCTCTCCCTCATATAAAAACTGGTGGCCGACGCAGTCACTGGAAAGCTACAACTGGTCAATGCTTTATTCGATCACTCAGCCATATGGAAGATGACGGATTTAAATTATTTAGCCTAATCGCTTCATTACTTTTTATGCTGGTGAATCTGCTAATCCCCTTAATATGACCACTTATTTTTTCCCCAAATCTTATATCATTATATTTAAAATAGATATATACATATTATGCAGCGTGTCCAGATGAAAGCATTGAACAACGCGTAATAGTTGAATTGAAAGTGCGTTATGGCTCTTTTCCACTGCATGGTACGGCACGGTACGGTTCACTTTTGGGGGGTTTTCCACTGGGTACAGTACCTGCGCTAGATTTAAATCAGCACAGCCAGCGAAGGATCGAATGCAACTGTTTTGAACGAGCGCACCTTTTTTTAACAACCAAAAAGTGGCTGTTCCCCCTGTTGAGGAAGTACAGACGTTGCTCTCGTTGATAGCAGAGGAGCGGATCCAGTGAGAGCTTGATGGGGAATGAAAAAGTTTTTTAGGAGTCGCGGCAGTAGAGGCGGCGCAACTATAATGACATGTGAATAATCCCGCCCACTCTAAAGCGATACTAAACTGCAGTGGAAACGCAAACCGAGCCGAACCGAGCCGTGCCGTACCGTACTGAGCCGTATCGAGCCGAGTCGTACCACGCAGTGGAAAAGCGCCATTAGAGTTGAAGAACGTCAAAGGATCCACAAGTATGAGCTGCCGCATATTAAAAAGGAACAGAATTGCACACATTTTCCAATAAACGCAAAATACTGTATGGCACAGTACTAAAACACGACGGCGCTGCTTATGCTATTCAAAAGGCTGAGAGTAGAACGCTGCGCTTAAGCATTGCACGCACTCGTCTGAGGAAAAAAACACTGACAAGGCAACTAATGAAGCAGAAAACCAAAGCACCAAATCTCTAAATGTCTACTATAGATATGTCTCAATTTGGTTCTTGATAGTAATAGATACCACAGATGGCCCAACCGTTTGGTTTGTTTAAAAAAAGGCGGGCGAGAGAAAAGAAGAGGGAAAGGACTAAATTAAAATCGACAAGAAACAGGTCAAGTTTATGGCAATGCTTTCACGAGCTAATCTCCTCGGGTCAGTTCCGGGATCAAACCGTAATGAAGCAATAATGGGCCACATTATTCCAAATTTTTCAGTCCGATGGAATTTAAAAGCCTTAATCGTATGCAAATAACGGCGGGGCAGAGAAAGTGACCCAAAACACGAGCTGAATGGCCAGAAAAGATATGGACTCCTGCACGTACCTGATCAAGGGGCCCCGATGATCTTGTAATTTCTTCACTGTCTGATTTTGATCCTCCTTCTCTGTCGTCTATAACCAAGTCGATGGGCATCTTTCCCTTCAAACAGCTGATGTACCGATGACAGAAATTGTCACAAAGTTCATGTACCTATAGATACAAGGGAAGCAAGGAGGGGGGAACAATCACAAAGGGTCATCACAGCGAACTGACAAGTGCATCCAGAACTCCTATTGACATGGAAAACATCTCCCAATGGCCTTCTCTGATAGCTATCAGACGCATCCAGAATGTTAAATAACTTTACTCCCTCTCAAAATAGAGATATCGCCGAAAATTGACACTGACAAGACGACTCACGGGCTACACCGTATTCAACACCCGTGTAAAATTCATCTGCTCCCGGGGTTGTGGCCATTAGAGAGATGACCTGTTTGACTGACATTTAAGGTAAACTGTTTAATTTCGTCTAGTTATTTCATTACCTTCTCTTTACAAGGGAATAATATGGCGGATGACATTCAGTGGCGAGGGGAAAATTCTTCATTTATGGCTGAATGCTCAAACTATCGCTTCGCCGTGTTATCTCAACACACATATCATGCAAATATCTGGAGATTTTGAGCCAATGGATGTGTATTCAATACTGTAAAACTATATGGTTTGGCGATAAATCACTTGATAGGCCCACTCTCGACGTGGAAACAGGTGTTGATAAAATTCCTCCAAAGTGTATCGCTGATAACAGATAAGCGCGCAAAACGTGCCATTAACGTGGTCGACTGTATTCCGGAATAACGATAGTCAATATAATAGAATGAATGAACAAAAAGCGCTTGCGACTACGTTAGGTGACACAGCGTGCAGAGAAACATTGAAATTACTGCTATGAAATATCTGTGGCCGTGGTAGCAGGTTGCATTGTAATTAAACTCAGAGGAGAAATAGGCAGCATGATTGATTTTGACACTAATTACAACAGACCAGGAAAAATACATTTATGCAGATGAGGCCCATAGGTTTGAAGAGAGGACCGGCCAATTGGGGTAAACTTTGATTACCTTTTCGAGCTCCAAAAGATGAAACCGTAAAACTTGAATGGCTTGTATCATCTGGGGAAAATTGACAATGAAGAAAAAAGTTCACTTTAAATGTGACGAAATAAACAGGCCCAAGACAATTACAAACAAATGAACACATTTATGACATTTTGGATCATTTCTGACTTGAGATCACTTTCTAAACAATGCACTGCAATTAAGTCAAATTATACGTAATTTATGAATAAATTATCACTCTAATCCATGTTTTAATGAGAGGGACGTGTGTCCTCCGCCAACATAAAGCGTTAATGCTAAAAAACAATTTGCATAAAAAATTGAACTCTTGCAAAACAAATAAAAAAAATATATATACATAGCGATTAGCAATGCCATCAAGAAATCAGACAATTCTGTCTAAAGAACACTTTCTGAATATTTTATAAAAGTTATAAATTAAAACTCTTGGAGGCAAATACAAAATAATAATAATAATTTGCACTCACCAAATTATCCAGCTCCGGATTTGATGAAAATAGCGGCTTTTCTGCTCGAATCTGAGACGATATGCATGTAAATAATTTAAAATTGTGAGAGAGAGAAAAAAAATCATTCCTTAAAAAAAAATAATAATAAATGTAAAAGCAGCAATTAGCCCGTGTGTGTTTTTTAAAGTTACAGAGAATACGTCAACGCAGCAACTACACAATAAAATATGGAACAACTTTTTGCGCCATAAAACAGTTTCTGACCTGTTTTGCAAACACTGCTATATCCTCATTGAAAGACTCTGATGAACACACATCGCCCCCAGCCACACCGGGCTCTCGAGGTGTGCAAGTGGCTAATTCACATTTCTCAAAAATCAGTGCTAGAAGTGGGAACAGAGGGTGCCTGGAATAAAAAAAAAAAAACACAGAGGTCAGTGCGGGGAAAGCTCTGGATTAGCACACGACATTTTATAAGAGTTTACAACTCCTTCTCGGTGGATAAGCGGTCTCTACTTTAGAACAATCTAATTTGCATTTGAGAAATTTAGTTTTAATTAACTCTTTTTAATTTGTCACCAATCAAAAGTAGCCTACGTGCGTACCACTGCGCCACGATCATATAGATATGAAGTGTTTACTCGTACGTTTATGTCGATTAGTGTGTTGTCACTTACACTATAACGAGCTTTTTACTTGTGTTTAATACTGTGTCAGATCACATGTAACTTGAAATACAACAGTCAATATAAACAGTGGGCTACGAGGTCACAGCATCTAAGAAATGCTCACGTTGAGTCTAGGCCAAGCATGCAATTTAACCATGGTTCAAATAGTGGGTCTATATCTTGTGTAAATGTTTAGCGACGTATCTAATTCATAATGAATGCGAGTAGGTTCTACGGCGCGTTCTGCGTATAAATTGCTTTTTTTAAACGACAACAACATTTATATACAGCGCTGTGATGAGAACCCTTGTGCTCCAGCAGCTTTTGTATGCTAGGCGCATTTGGAGTAACTCCGCACATCCAGATATGTTTGCACATTTTATGAGCTATGTGGAAAATATCCTTTATGGTTTTGTAAGAGTGTTCATTGTAATTTTCACGGGAATCACTTTGCGCAGCTGTCCAAAAATGCATTTTATCCATTTAACTAATAACTAGGCCTGAAGTTTAAACAATTAAAAAGCTATAGCTTAAACATAACATACATATCGATGTTTTATGCGCAATCGTGTTTTTTAAAATTCAGTATTTATCAACTTTAATTTTGAAGTTTAAAACGAAATATTAGTAAGATTTTTAAAACAAACTAATTAAAAAAAAACAAAAAAACGCTGTCACAAAAAGAAAGGCAAAACGAATAGTCAGACGGTGAACTGATATAAAAGTGAGAGGAGACAACTTTTAGAATAAAAGTAACTTTTTAAAAGATTAAACATGCATGGCGCCCTAAGTTCTCAATATGTTTTACAGAAACTATTGCAGGTCAAATAATGTGTTACTGGCAAAGTTAATCATAAAGAATATGTCTTGGCTATCTACACGTACCCGTAAATGGAGTCTTTATCTCTTTTTAGAGCGTCATTGACGGATGAGCCCATGCTGGGCGGCATGGCGTTGGCGTGGGCTGTGTGCGGGTACTGGTGGGAGTGGAGCTGGGGCCCGTGGTTCAGGTGAACAGCCTGCATGGATCTGGCGGCGTGCGGGTCCCCGTACATCGTGCTCGGGATTCCTACTCCGTCCATCCCATAGTGGGTTATATCTTCGTACTGCACACACACACACACGAAGGGCAACATTCCCATGTTGTCACTTTTACCTCTTACACAATATATACATAGGAAAAAAATACACTAAAAGAAAATATAAATCGAATATTCTCGGACAAAACAGTATGGCTTTTGCGAAATGAAAACACTTTGTTCTGGTATTACAAAGTAATTAAATATATCAAGTGTACAAGCAGACTATCTCGTGGTTTTAACACTAAATCCAAAAAGATGTTGCAAAACTCATGTGTTTAAAAAAAAAAAACAGACTGAAACAGACAGACTTAGAATACAGCGTCGGACACATCAACATCAACTACTGAGCTACAGCTTTATTGAGATCATCACAAAAAAATATTACAGTGTTTTGTTGTGCCACTTTTTATGTGAATTTTTATTTTTACAAATGCAACTGAAGTAATAAGTAATGTCATTTGCATGTAATAACCGTGTATTATATAGATTATTATACCCTACTGTTGTCAAACTAAATTCATTATACACTAGTTCAATATTAACATACCTAGCACTTTTAGGATTAGTCTAATTAAACACTAATTTACATTGTCCAATCGTGCCTAACAGTTCAATGTCATATTTGATTAGTTTATTTAAAATAATCAATGACATTGATAATTTATCATAATTATTATAAGTTTAATGATATTGCAGGGAAAGTGTGATGATGAGACCATAACACATTTAAAATCTAAATCTAGAGAGTGTAAGCAAAACAGCAGGGTGCTACTTCCACCATCAAAAGCAAAAGGTCGGAGAGTTGCGATGAAATCTACTTTGTGATTGTTTACATTTGATTACAAATGCAAAGAAAAAGTGGCCAACCCGTAAATGTCAACTTTACGAGTTAAAGCGCACAACTATGTTTCATTGTAATGCTGTTTGAAAATAAGACTATTTTGTATAGAATATATAAACAATATAGCTGAGTTGAATTTGTTGAACTCCCTAATAATATTCCTGAACAATGTATTATCATATCATGTATTGTAATAACTTTTAGTTATGAGAGTTGAACTATTCCAATAGTTTTAAAGTTTTTTTTTTATTATTATTTGTCCTCATGACGAAACTAAAGAAACTTAAACAAATGCAGTGCATATAGAAAAACTATGGTTGAAAAAAAATTAGGAATTGCTCCCTCTCAAACGTAATTAGAAAGTATTCTATTTAAAAATGGTTTCAGTGTCTCAAAACTAAGACACATGCATGAATGTGAGCGATGTAAAGTTGAATGTTACAACAAAACTGGTAGGCAAAAGAAGAGAAAGTTTGACTGCGAGTCTGAATGTCATCGGCCACGTTTCAGTATTTCCAACTGCATTCAACAATACGGAGTCGAAGAAACTTTTCGGGATACGTACCCTCTGCGCCATCGCCCTCCACACTCCCTCGGCTTCCTTTTATCAAAAATATATCCCCTATGAGGCCAGGGTGAATAGGAAATAAGCACGCAAATTCCAAACGTGGGATATGTTTTCCCCAAAAATCCAACTGCCTCTTTCAAGCGAGAGATGAAGCCAGTCCTTCACCACAAGTTCAGCCAGACGCGTTCAGCGAATAGGTCCCCTTCGCTTTCTTTCCCGTGGACAGCGACAAGGATCGAGCAAAACCTTCTTTTCCAAAGCAGTATGAAAATAGCCCCTCAATCAAAACTAGCGCATCTCATGGCTTTTTGCCACTCCGGCTGTCAATCAATCAAACGCGAGCTTGTCAAGGTGCTGAATGAATGACGATCCTCTGCGCGCTTCCACTGGTTAGCACCCCTAACGAGAATACTACTCAAATGCACAAAAATGAAGCTCTCTCTCGTTTCTTTGATCACTCTCTTCTCCTGAGTTGATTTTTTATGCAATAGCTTCTAAATGAGATCAAGAGGAGGTGGGCTGATAATTCTGGCTTAGTTTTTTTCTTAAAGGAGCCACGATCGATGCTGCGAGCTGCCTTTCCCCGTTTGTGTACAATGAGTGTGTGTTGAACGCGGCTCAGCAGCTGAATCTGGACCAGACTGCTGAAACCCGGAAGTAGTGGTGGCCATAACAGGTCGCGTCTTGCACAATGCGATGGGCCACATCAAGTTGCAGCCAAAGCAGGGGGGGTGAGATGTGTGGGACGCAGAAAAGCGCAGACCACTACTACCACGATTCAACATGAACCGAGCTCTAACACGCAGAGACCGCGCTGTGCTTTAGGTTGCACTGCGCTCGTTATGCGTGCCAAGACACGCAATATATAAAGTCATGTAGGTGTTTATATAAAAACATTGCTTTAAATATAGCTACAAATGGGACGTGGGCTCTTTCACATCAGGTCACTCTCAACACACTGTTTAATATCACTTCTGATCAGAGTATCCAAATGGGAGAGCGTCATTTACAATAGTCGAGGAACTTGGAAACCATGTTCAGTGTGCGTAATGAAGTTTTCCCGCACGCCTGTATTTTACGCGGAAGCCTGTATAAATGAACTGCACTAATAATCCGAAATATTGTTTTTACCATATGCCTGTGTACTTTACATTTCACACAAACATCATTATTCAGAAACAGCATATGCTGCGCTTCAGCAGTGCTGCGTGCGCTCTCAGCCAAAACACCCCCGCCATTTGTGAATGGGCTCATCCACTTACTGTAGGATCTAAGGAGTTTGGTGCAGTGTCCAATGAAAGCGTGCTACAGTGAATCAAGTCGTCTATTGGTTCAAAGAATGATCAATCATTCATTTATCGGTCGATATGCTTCCATAAATGAAGAAAGGCTGGAATGAAAATATTGTAATCTGGAGGGAAAATGTAGTCTTCTTGTTCTGTTTTGTTCTAATGCTACTCTCTCTCCCTTTCTCTCTCTCTCACACACACACACACACACACACACACACACACAGTCTCTCTCACACACTCACA